CATTCGAAATGAAGGTCCCTTTAACAATGTTATCTCAGGAGATTCATCGAAACCAAGTTTCTCTTCGTATATGCTAAATTATAGTCCCAGAGATTCTCGTGAATACAGAATGATGAGACCGTTCTTGCCTTTCCAACACAAGTGCCAATATTGTAGATTGTCCCGAAAAGTCTCTCATTTGTAGATGTTAAAGCTTAAGATAAGCTTCAAAAATATGAGGTGATTATAGTCTCTTCTTTCGATGAAATGTGGTGTCAAATGAGTCACTAAATAGAATATATTTTCCGCAACGCATTGAGCAGACTCAATCATCTGTTATTTGCTGTGGTAGTAATGATAGCATCCAGCCCCGGACAGATGACCTGGCACATTTTAAGGTGTTTCGCCGGCATTTAAGTCGACACCAAGCTACGACTTGTCAAAGGGACAGACTTGGTGCCATGACTGTCATATATCTTAAACAATGCCGACCAAGACGCATGCGAAGTGTCTGGGAATGCAGAGAGTTAAGGCTGTGATACTCGAAATCATCATGACAGCGGTAGCAGGACTGAATCCGTCCCATAAAGTCTGTCTGTCGCCCCAAGAAAGTTGCGAAAAAATGCTCATACTAACTCTAATGCATACTATTTTAGTCTTCGTGTCTAAAATCTAATAGGCTTTTCTTTACCAACATAGGCTCGGATGCAGTTACAATGTTGAAACGATCCAAGAGATGCTCAGTGAACTGAGATTCTGATAACATGGCCATTTTAAGCGAACCACGTCGACGCAATGACTGATCCTGATAATCGTCTTTAGCTCTGTTATAGACGCATGAGACCCAGAGGCTTCGACATTTGCCAAAAATGGAGGAAAATCACTCGATTTTGTCTGATTTAAGGCCAAAGAACACATATACTAGCAAAAGGGGCCTTAAAAATGTGACTGCAAAGAGCAGACTGATGTGCCCTCTCAAATACTTTTTTCATCCAACCTGCTCCATTAAAGAAAATAGGAATGTTTTATTCGGCTGCTTTCACTCGATCGCTCAAAATAAATGGAGTAAGTGCCACTGGTTAGGCCCATACAGAAACTCATTTATGCAGTTAAGTTCCACTTTTTCGTTGAGATCTTCAGCATTCGCTTTATGTGGCAGTGTTCTAGTTATTTTATGGTGTAACAACAAGAGTTCAAAAAATTAATTTATGCACCACCATTTGAAGAAAGCTATCAGATTACACTATTCTTCCAAGTGATGTGTCAAGCCAACTGTCACAACTACCACCAGTTGCCAGGGCCTTCTCAGCAGACACCTATATGCCCGTGTATGTGTGGAAGGACCTTAGTTGCCCTAGATGGCTTAAAGTGACTTAGCTACTAATTGTGCAGCTTTTCCCACAGGGACTTCCAACAATGTGATTCGAAACCAGGTAGTGAATATCCTGGCAACACTTTATAAACTACTACACTGACTCAGGTGTCAGGTGGTCACATAGCAAATCCTTCCCAATTCACATTTATAGGGGGATTGTTGGTGAGGCACAGATCTACTTATCTTTCGTTGTTATGCCGGTTGTCTTGACTACCAGTAGCTCATATAAATGAGATGCATTCACCCTATTTCATTTAAGATGGTAAGTCACCCTCTCATCTCAAACGAAATAAGATGAACGCATCTCATATACCATTATTTTACTTTAAAATCGACTACATTATATATATCCGTTTTGATTGGTTTCCAAGTCATTTATTAAGTGAAGGGACAAGATTTCGGCCATGATCAGCGACAGTTAACAGGGCTTTCTCAGACAAGCGATAGCTTGACTCTAAGTAAGTTAGGGAATTCAATTTCGTCAGTCATGTACAAGTCCACATCTAGGAATGCCCTCTATGCATGTGCATGTGTGTGTGTGGCTTTGCAGGTATAACATGAGAATGCGGGTGACCTATCTCCCGGTAGCAATTCGTCAATACTGTCTCAGGCATTGAGGGGATGGAATATACGAAGAGTAGTTGGGCTTTGATTATACTTTTAAGATAAGATTAACGTGGAGACTGTCATTTCGCATGAAAGTGCCTTATGAAGAGAGTCGTAGGTCGATTTCACCGGAAGAGGACAGCTAATTCTAGTTGGCCTGCAGTCATTTGACTTAAATACGACGTCCAGATTGATGCGGTCCATGAGACTTCCTCCCTCGTTTTCAGTCAAAATGTCCTTGCTATGACGGACATATTCAGAATTGGAATACATTATTGCAATATTTGAAAGTTAAAAATAGGTCAAAAATACTAGCTGGCTTTACCCTAAATTATATATATACTCATAAATAAAAACAAAAGATTATAATCTGACTGGATTAATAATAATTTGGTCAGTTATATTTCAAATAAATTAGAATAAATACCCTTCAATGTTCTTGTAACCATGTGTAATTGTTTGTGTTAGCATGCATATGTGTTTAAGTCATAGTACACAATCTTGGACATTTGGTTGGATTATTGAGCTTAGTGGAACTGTTTACCGAAGGTGAATATCGTTATAACCATCACTGGGCTGAAAAATTTAATAGTCTTCTTCTGGCCGGCGGCTCAGTACCCTCGCTCTCTCCTGCATTTTATCAATTACGCATAAGTATATGAGAAATTGAATTTAAAGCTACTTATATGAAAAATAAGTAGTTCTTACTGAACTTTCCAATTCCCTTACATTCAACGTATTTCCACATCTATTGCTTTCAATAGTTTCTCTTATAAAAAGGTTTGTAGTAGACGTACAATAGGAAGCAGACCTCAACGTTGGGGACTATTCCATTACCTAAAACATTCTTTGTTTTGTTCTTGGCCTATTTTGATCGTTCGACCTATTTGTATTACAAACAAATTTTTGCTCCGCTATTCTTTGGCCGATAGGCCGACACGTCTCGCCAACGTAGCTCGACCACATAAGCACACAATCTTATGGCAGCGGATTCTTGATCATGAGTTATATTTCTCTTTGAAAGGAGGCATAAACGAATAAAATTGTTTTTATCCCCCCTTTCCTCATTAATCCGCCTATCTTCTTATAGAGGAGGCATGATGCCAATGTTAGTACATGAAAAGAGGTCTCACTTGGCCTATCTCTTACCCCCCAGTCTCCATCTGAAAATTTATCACTCGTTAGAAAGAGATATTATTCTCAATTAAACTTAAGGGAAAATTACGTTCTAGGAATAATTTTTTTAGTCTTCGCACCTCTTCGGCCAGATGATTTCTATCAGCAAGTCCAATGATCCTAATATTCATCGACTTCTTATGCAAGAATAACAAATGGTTTCGAAACCGAATCACGCAGAATATAAGTAAAATCATCCATTTTAGCGGCTAAAACATGGCTACCTCATCCTCAATATCATAATAAATGTAGCTGGAAAAAGGCCTGGCTTGCTTCGAATGTCCCATCTTCCCAATGACCGAGTGGTATCTGTGATAATGTAGCGGAGTGGCCACAATTTCGATTCTAGTCGAAAATGTTGATAAGCCCTATGAGAAAACCAGCCAGGCTTAGAACAGATTTGGGAGTCAAGAGTGAGTGAAATGTAAGGGCATTCTCAGACCTATTTGCACGATTGTGGGAAAAACTTGACTATCGGTCCTTACATTATCAAAAATGACTTTAGCTGAGAGCTCTAAAATATATTTTCGTCAATGCGAAGAAAAGTTGGTTTCGAGGAATATCTTATTTCCATTTCGAGTGAAAGTGTTTGGTCAAGAAAACTTTACTCGTTAGCTCGAATTTGCATGTACGGATGATACCCTGCTCTGATGATTTTCGACATGCAACGGACAAAAGCTTAGCACCTTTTCACCAGAAGCAAGAGAGATTATCCCGGAAACAGCGTCAACAAGGTGGCTCCAGTAAAGCCAATCGACAGCTGGTCAAGAGGAATCCTCCGTCGTCTTCTGGTGAGATCGATTTTCGAATCTCTTCACCAAATCCTTTTACTCAAAATGGAAATAAGCTCTACTTTCGTCTAACATTAAACCACCGACAGTACAATGGGTTGCAAGATGTCCATGATAGACGTTCTCTTAGGGCTTTAGAGAGAGATGCTACTCGGTATATCCGAGTTTATCAGCTTCTTTCATTAGACAATCATTAAGCCGTCCTTGAATTGCTCCTAGAATGCCTTGGAATGAGCCTTAGCACAAGCCTAGTCTACGTTTGTTTTTAGTGGGGGTGGTGGTGGTGGTGGTGCTGCTGCTGCTGCTGCTGCTGCTATTATTGTATGGACGAGGCGATAAATGAGTTTCCCAGTGAAGCATAACGAGTATTCTTTGATTATTCTTCGTCTAGTACAGGTCTTTCTCTCACTCTTTCTCACATTTTACTTGTTATCCGGTTTGTCTGAGAAGTGTCGATCCGTTCGAGTTTCCTCTTCGACATCAACCGAGCTCTAGGCACAAGGCAAGCCAAAAGTATGCATACAGAAAAGTCACTCAAGCAAGAATATAAGTTAATTATTAATCCTAGCCTGAGCATTAATAGCAACCCACATCTTAGTCGACATGGCCTCGCAGACAGCTTCAACAGTCAAGCCAAGTGGTCGATGAAACGCACTGATAGGCAAGTCGCGAGAACTGATTAGCTACTCTCCAACAAAAAGCATAATTCCCTCTTTTCTATTTCGCTCTCACCCTCTGGTTAAGCATCCACTATTTTTCGTTCGTTTCAGAATATACCCTCCAGCTGTCGATATATTATTTCTCTATTGTCAAGCCTTACGTAACCTAGTTTAGGAATGTGATAAAGTTTAATGTTAAAAGCCCGTCTACCCAAAACCCATCCCTCTACCGGCGCCCTTTTCAGTTGAGAAGCGATACAGAAATTGAATGCCTAGTCGAAGTTGCCCTTTTGCGTTAACCTTTGAGTAAAGACAAGCTAACATAATTGTCAGAGTCTGTAGAGATTCCACTACTAATTCCATTTTAGTGCAGTAACCAAAGTCTAGCGGAACAAACGTGTGCATACAAATGCCTGCACGTGTACACACACATAGACAATGAAGTGGCAA